TGTGACGGAGTCACTGAGTGCCACGAAGACACGTGATGAAAACTTACTTAATCTTTAGAAACATTACGTATGCGGTTGTTTTGTTTAAGACTTCCTTTGTTTATCCCCCGCTGACATTGCTTTGTAATTATAATTCATGGTATGCGTAGAAATTTCTGGAACATTCGATGGTAATCTCGCAAGTATGATGTAATCACGGTAGGTATTTTTGTAAAGTTACGTAATAATAAGTAGCAGTATAAATAGAGGCTGTGTGCCCGTGAAGAGGGAATTCTTTTCTTAGTGGTGGTTAGTGAGTAGAGTTGTAATGATTTTAGTGATTATTTCGGCGTGGTAAAATTAAAGAAGGTCTATTTCTTGCTTCGTGGACTGTTCATGTAGTTGTTGCGTTCGAATCAATATTGAGTTCACGACATTTTGGTACCAGAAGTGGGGTCATTTATCGCCGAGGAAAAATACTTCGGTAGGCGAGGATCACGTAAGTGGAGTAAAAACAGTTTAATTTGGTTTGAAATACTGTGGTGTGTTGGAATAGTACCATGGCAGCCGGAGGGAGACGAGGGAAAAGGCAGGAAGAAGCCCAGCATACAAGCGAAGAACGAGGGGAAAGTGGAGTAGTTTTAGAAGTACTTAAATGGATGACAGAAAAAGAAGAAAAAGAGCGCCTCTATAGAGAGGAGCAGGATCGAAAGAGAGACGAGTAGTTTATACAACTAATAGCCACACTTGGAAAAAAGCAATCCGACATAGAAGAGCAAGTAAAGGCACAAGAGGCGCAGCGAAAACAAGAGGACAAGGCCCAGTTGGAGAAAATTATTCGTCTTCAGAATGAAGAGCGGGAAGCCAGAGAGCGAGAAAATAGAGAGAGAAATTAAAGCAAGAGAACTGGAAAAGGTAAATCGTGAGCGAGAGAAAGAGGAAAGGTTGGCCAGAGAGGAGGAAAGAAGACTTGCGTGGGAAGCACAAGCTGACAACGAGAGAAGGCAATTTTTAGAGAAATTCGCAGAACTCAGTTTATCCAGCCAGGGACAAGAACCAATGATAAACCTTGGGAAGCCTGCTCTTAAAAAGCTCTGTGAAGATGACGATATAGAGCATTTTCTCACCACATTCGAGCGTGTAGCGGAAACATATGGATGGAAAGCAGAGGTTTGGTCGGTGAAATTAGCACCATTGCTCTCTGGAAAAGCACAAGCCGCGTATGCCAACATGGACCCAGAGAAGTCTCGCATTTACGAAGAAGTGAAAAAAGCCATTTGAGGAGGTACGATATTGATGAAGAAACCTATCGTCAGAGATTTCGAGCCACAAGGAAAAGGAACGAGGAGAGTTGCACTGAACTGGAGGTGAAACTGCGTGATCTATACTGCAAGTGGGTACATCCCTCTGCAAGTACAAAGGAGCAGATTTCCAATGCGATCATAATGGAGCAGCTACTAAGTTCTCTGCCATTAGAGCTACAAATTTGGATCAGAGAGCGAAAGCCTACAACATCAGAAGAAGCTGCCATATTGGCTGACGATTACCTGTTAGCACGAAAGGCCACAATCAGGGGACAGGGTACCCAAGAAATTAGATGTCATGGTTGTAAAAAGACTGGCCATATTTTAAAGAACTGCCCTGTACCAAAACAAGCAGATACGACGGTGCCAGTAGGCAAAAGAAAGCCTGAAAACGATACAATACAACATACACCTACAAGGAGCTCGACAATTCAGTGTTTTAAGTGCGGGAGACCAGGACACATTGCTCTCCATTGTCCGTCAAATCAGGCCCACAACAACAACAACAGAGGGAGACATACGGGATATTATGTTAAACATAAAGACAAGTTGATCAGATCAGCACAATCATTTGACTTTGGAGAGCATTCAGTTGGTAAAATTCTAAAGGCTTTCAGCTGCAGAGGGGAAATAGAAGGGAGACCGGTAGACATTCTTGTCGACACTGGCTGTTCAAGGACACTTGTGCACAAAGACTTGATACCAGAAGGCAAAGTCGATGAGGAAACCAGAGTTGATATACAATGCGCACATGGTGATTATGTCAGCTACCCGACTGCCGAAGTCAGCATAAAGATTCAAGACAAAGTGTTCTTGCAAAGGGTTGTGGTGTCTCCGAATCTTCCAAGACCGGTTCTGTTAGGCATGGACATAGTAAATGATGAGAAGTTTGAGAGGGATGATATTGAAGCTTTTATAGTAGTGACCAGAGCACAGGAAAAAGCACGGGAACAAGAAGAGGCGATACAGTTGGCCAGGGAGATCTGCTCGGGTGCAAAAGCGCAGGCTTTAAGCGATGCTAGCGGAGAAGGCAATCAATCAGAGGAAACTTTAGATGTAAATTACGAGATAAATTCTTCAACTCGAGATGTGGATAGAGACGACAATACCGAGGGGACAGTTGAATCGTTGTCTGGGTCAAAAGAAGTACAGACGGGGGAAACAGCAAAGATAAATACAAATGACGAAAATGAAGGAAGTTTAGAGATGAAGAATTTCAGTTGGAGCTCCGCAGAGATAAGAGAAATGCAGGGGAATGACACAACATTGGATAAATGTAAGGAGTATGCGCAGTTGAAGTCATAATTAAATGGCAAGGTGAGGTTTATAGAGAGGGAAAATAGCTCAGAAGATCAAGAGGAGAATGACTTAGTGGTACCTTCTATAAACAACGAATTTTCTAAAGATGGCTGGGAAGCAGTAAAAATTGAGGAAGATCTTAGTGACAGCCAATCAAGAACATTGCATGTCCTACTACAAAGATTCGCAACCGTTTTGAAAGACTCCCCTGGGAAAACAACAGTAGTAGAACACCAGATTCACACAGGAGATGCAAAACCAGTTAGGAAAAGGCCGTATCGTCTGCCACAGTCACAGTATGAGAAAATCAAGACGGAAATCGAAAAAATGGAAGAGATGGGAATCATCCAGCCTTCAAATAGTGAATGGGCAGCTCCAGTAGTGATTGTTCCAAAAAAAGATGGATCGCTGAGAATATGTATTGATTATAGAGAATTGAACAAGGTGTCTTCATTTGATGCATACCCGATGCCGCGGGTTGATGAAATTCTTGACAGGCTTGGCAATTCAAGGTACATCTCCACCCTGGATCTTACAAGAGGATATTGGCAAGTCCCATTAAGTCCTGATGCAGTACCAAAGACAGCATTCACATGTTGTAATATAAGTTTAGAATAAATATCGTTGCTCTTTTGTTTATTATGCTGTCCGTAGTCGATATTGGTTTTAAAGCACGCTTAGCTGCATATTGTTGTGTTAAAGTAATTGATTGATGGATCTATTGTTTAGCTCAGTTGGAGTTGGGAGAGGGTGCTCAAGTTGGAGAGTAGTTGATGATCGAGTAGTTTTGAAGTGAAGTTTTCAAGTGTTTAAAGTTGTCAAGATCGTTCGTTGTCAAGAATGGAATTTATTATAATAATAACTTGTAAATAGTATATATATATAGATCGTGTTTATTTCATTGTGGATTTTGCTACCATACACCGACCAGCCTTAAAAAGCACAACAATTTGGAGGTCCCACCGAGATGCGATGTTTACAAAATGCCTGGTAAGATTCCTGCAATTTCGAAGTTTAAAGGAGACAATTCTCTTAGTTTTCGACAATGGTCGTTGCAGTTTGAAGCACAACTGAAAGCGTTAGATGTAAAGAACGAAGGAACTAAATGGAGGGATTTGCTACTTTGCTGCACTGAAGCTAGTGCATTTGCGACCGTTTCAAATGCGATTTTGGCCGATGGAGAAATATCGTACGCTGATTTGAAGCATGAACTTGAAACCAAATATTGCGGTGCCGAATATAAGAGAACTTTGGAGACAAAGCTTCGTTCACTTGTTTTTAAACCAGGCGTAAATATCACAACATTTGCATTTGAAGTTAAATCAGTCGTACAAGAACTGTATGGAATTTCGGACGGTAACGTGATCGATTCGATAGCACAAAACCACATACTATCGCAGCTGGACTCTTCGATTCAGGAGCCAGCCAAAATTTTGCAGTTAACGGGGAAATGTACACTAGAGAGCTTACTAGAGCTTATTAATTCGAAAGTTGCAGATAATCCGTATAATATTGCAACGGCAAAAGCAAGTTTTGAGACGGCCGCGACGAGTTATTCTAGCAATGATCGCGTTGATCGTTTGGAAAAGATGGTTGAGAAATTATGTTTTCACATGGATGAGATGTCTAAAGGTGCGGAAGGATTGAAAAAGGCGGAAGCATGCTCAAACTGTGGAGCAAACGGTCATGACAGGTCCCGCTGCTATAAGCTGAGAACATGCTACCAATGTGGTATGAAAGGACATATTTCCAAACATTGCAGACAAAAACGTGAAAATAGCCATGCACCCAAGAATGGCAGAGTCAGTTCATCGGCGGGTCGAATGACAGAGGAAAATCAAATTAATGTTGAGAATGGTGTTGCGTTAAAACCAGTCCCTCGAATAATGTTGAAACTGAACATTGGTGGATCTGATATGGACATCTTAAATGATCCCGGAAGCATGTATACGATGATCACTCGTCGCGCATACGACGAATTGAAAATCAAGCCACCTTTGGTTCCCGTAAACCGTAGCGGAATTGGAATTTCTGGTGAAACTTTCCGTTTGGATGGTGTTGCGTACTTGAATATCAAATTTTTACGTGAAGATGGAACGTCATACATACTTGAATACCAGCCGGTACTGGTGTCATCAGCTATTTCTTCTAACGTTTTGGGCATGGATACCGAGTTGAATTTTAAAGGAGCTGTCAGAGATCATTTTAATAATTTAATAACATTTGTTCCCTCGTCTGGAGATCAAGTTGTTATTAAATATTGGAAGGAGAAGAAGGACACGAATACTGCATATGTTCATGTTGCCAAGGCAACTATTATTCCTGCAGAATCTATCAAAATGGTACCATCAAAGATAATCAATTCAAAGAAGGATGTTTTAAAGGACGCTCCATGTGTATTTGAACCAATTAAAGAGAGTCGTGATGGCCTGGAACTTAGCGATGTGTTTCTGCAGAGCGCTTCAAAAGTTGTTGATTTACCAGTGTTAAATGACAGTAGCGAAGATATGTTGTTATCAAAAGGTGAAGTCCTAGGAGTTATCAACTCAGTAGAGCAAGCACAAGAAACAATATTCAGAAACAGTGCTCCAAGTGCATTAGCTGTACACAAGTCTACTTTATCAGAAGATGAACTCAGCCCTAAGTTTCAACACTTAGACGAAGTAACTAGATCTACAGTAGTACGCATTCTAACAGATTACCAAAAAAATCTTACAAAGGTGCCTGTTGTCGGTCATGCTCATCATGAAATTCATCTCAAGGAAAATGTACCAGTTTCACAGCCAGCTCGACGTCTTCCATACAATCAGCGTAAAGAGATTTTATCACAAATTGTTCGTCGTTTCAGAGTACCTATCGATATTCTGTATGGTACCTTTGAGAACACTGAGTCAAATTTAAGCTTACAATCATATAAAGATAATTTGAATTCAATGTACGATACTGCAAGAGAACACATAAAGCAACGACAAGCTCGTTATGCTGCATATCATGATAAGAATGTTATTGATGATAAACTGTTTGTTGGTGATTATGTATATGTTTATTTACCACGACTTGCGAGAGTTAAGCTGATTGCTAAATGGAATGGACCATTTAAGATCATAAGAGCATCACATCCAGTCTACAGCATTGAAATTCCTTCGAATAAAGGTACATTGATTAAAACAGTTACGCGTGATAAATTGAAAAGAGCTCCGGAATCTGTCATGAACACTACTGTTCTGCATGTACCTACAGATGATGTTACCAACTCTCAATCCTCTGATGAGATTTTTGCCGAAAGCGACAGCGAGGAAGAGCTTGATGAACCACGTTATAACTTGCGTCCAAGAAGGAATGTTGTACGTTACAATGAAGAACT